TCTGGTACTCATGGAATGGAAAAATTCAACATTGTGAAAATGGCCTTCTTACCTAAAGCAACATACAGATTCAATGTAAGCCATCAAAAATTAAAATTCCGGGGCCTCCCCGGTGGCGCAGCAGTTGAGCGCTGGGTTGCGAAGGTGCCTGCAGCCTCCACAGAGCCAGTTGGATCCCCAGCTGCTCCCCGGCTACCGGAGGAGGGTCCCACATGGCACGCAGACCTCTCTTGCCACCCGCTGCTCCCCTCAGCAGTGTACCTCAGTCCTTCTGCCTGCTCTGCTCCCTGCTCTGGCTCTGGTGAATTCTCTCACCCTCCCGTGCTTCTGACTGTACCCAGAGCTTGTATAAATAAATAAATAAATCTTTAAAAATAAATAAATAAATAAATAAATAAATATTCCAAAAAAACTTTTCAAGGAAATACAACAAACAATACTAAAATTGCTATGGTACCACAAAAGAGTCTAAATAGTCAAAGCAATTCTGAGAGTAGTAAGAAGAAAAATGAAGTATCATGCTCCTTGACTTCAAACTATACCACAAAGCAATAGTAATCAAAACAGTATGATCTGGGACTAGAAAAAGACACACTGATCAATGGAATAAAATTGAGAACGAGAAATAAACCCACATATATATGTACCATTAATATATGACAAAGAAGCCAAATACATACACAACAGAGTAAGGAATGTCTATTTAACAAATGGTTTGGGAAAACTGAATAGTCATATGCAAAGGAATGAAACTAGATCACCATCTGACAGCACTCACAAAAATTAATTTGAAATGGAACAAAGACTTGGATTTAAGGCCTGAAACCACAAAGGTCATAGATGAAAACACAAATGATATGCTCCTTGACATCAGCCTTAGAAATGCCTTTGGGCTCTCAACTCCAGTAGCAAGGGAAACAAAAGTAAACATAAATAATTGGGGCTACAAAAAGTAAAATAACTTGTGTGCAATGAAGAAACCACCACAAAAACAAAATAGTAATCTACTGATTATGAAAAAATATTGTCACACCATATAACCAATGAAATTAATTTCAAAAAATATAAAGAATTCATACAACTGAGATTGATCTTAAGTATGCATTTACAAATGGACAGTAAACTTAATCTTTCCCATTCACATAAAAACTGTTTCAACAATGTCTTATCCAATGATTCTCAGGCCAAGGAATGAAGGGAAAGGTGATTTGGGCCCCCAGGGGATATTTGGCAATGTCCAGAAACATTTTTGGTTGCCATGACTGGATAGTGTTGTTGCTATATAGTGGGTAGGAGCCAAGGATGTTGCTAAACACCCTGCAATGCACAGGACAGTCCCCACAACAAAGAATGATCTAGCCCCAAATGTCATTCATGTCAAGACTGAGAAACCCTGATCTAACCCAAATGCTTTAGATATAATTCAATCACAATGGTGAAATCAAGAAAACCCTGATCTAACCCGAATGCTTTAGATACAATTTAATCATAATGGTGAAATCAAGATGTTATTATCATTTTCACTGATACCGATTTTTACAAAGGTAATTTGAAAAACAGATATGAGGGAGCAGGGTACAGAATGACACATTTATGATTTGAAAAAAAATATTTTTTGTATTTTTTAATATTTCATTTTATATAATTCTTACATCATTTTTCATCTTTGTACAATGTATGCATTTTCATTTTGGTTATATTCCCCATACAATTGCACCCCCCCTTATTTTGACTCTAGTTCTTCCTCTCCCCATCCCTCCCTAAATTCACCCCCCCCACCCCCACAGTGTATCTCTAGTTTACAGTTGCTTGTTGATTTTGATTATTATTTTGCATTGATTAGTCTTTTTCCTGGTCTCTTATTTAGGTTTTCTAAATTCCTGCTATAAGTGAGACCATCTGGTATTTGAAAAAAAATATTTTTATTCACACAAGCATTCACACATAAAAGAAATCACATACAATTTTCAATGAATCAACCAGAAAATTACCTTCTTTCTTAGACATTATGCTGAGAAAAATGAGGAAAAATGGCTATAAATGATCCTACCACAAATATTACACTATTATCAAGATATCTTTTCTTCAAATATATTAATATAAGATCTGTAAGTCAGTCATCTTGTCAGCAGCTACCATGACAGCCAGAAGATGAATCCACTGATTTGTATGGGTTTATTAGACTTTTTAGTTTCCTTGTTTATAGGGAATTTTGCAAAAATTAAAGAATGATGATTGGAGAGTAATCCTGTGGTGTGGGAGATACTACAGTGTTCTCAAATATTTAGTTCTAATCTACTTCCTCTCTTCCCCTTTTCCTAGTGTGCACTTTGTGAGAACAGGATGACATTTGTTGTGGTAATCACTCTGGTTTAAACTCCTTTAGAATAGTAGCTAACATTTCCTAAGCATTTACTAGTGCTCCTCTCCAAAAAAAATTGCATATATTAAAATGGTGGAATGGGCAAGAGTTTCATCAAAATAAGAACCCAAACCATGGTGGGTGGTGCTCAATAAAAATTTATAGATGAATGGATTTATAATGCTATATATAACAAACTTAGATGGTTTTGTTTAAACTTAGATTTTAGAAATACTTTTTCATAAATATATATCATTTTACAAACGAATGTATAAGCTCTTCATTATGACTATGTTGATTTCTCCTCCTTTTTGGCCTCCTAATCTTACTTTCTAAAAAAATGAGTCATTACTTGTGATAACTATAGCAAATATTGTATTATCCTGCTGGAAATAAATATGCTAGACAAAAAAAGATGAAGAAAGAAACCTGAAAGTCAGATTTTCAGTCTCAGTTTAAGCCCACTCTAGCTATACAGCAGTAACTTTCTTCTTTAGGTGAAACATTTGAAATCTGAGCTTATCATTTTAAGGAAAATAACTCTTTACAAAAAGTCAATTAGCTGTAAACTCTTCCAGTTTCTCATAACTGATATTACAAATTTCCTCAAGGATTAATGTCTGCTTTTCATTTAGATAAACAATTTTGGAGCAGCAACTAGAAAAGTTCCAACTCCCAGAATCAGCCTACTTGGATGAATGAATGGAGGGAGCTGCTCTGCGCCAGCCTGGCTGCAGCCGCCGCTCCACAAGTATAGAAATGGGGTATAGAAATGGAGTATAGAAAAAGGCAATCAGCCGAGTGTCTAAGTCATTGCTTTGGAATTTATTGAGCATTAAAATTGAGAAAGAAAATAAGAAAAAAGGGAATGGAAAGAAGAGAATGAGCAAGCAGAATCACCTTAAGGGGAAGGGTGTCATAGGAGGGAATGACAGTCAACCATAAAACACAACTATTTAACATTACCCTCAATGCAATAGCAATAGGTAAACATTTAATTTAATTATTTAAAATATTGAGTTTTGGCTCCAAGATATTCTTCCAAGTGTACTCCAGCTCTTTTTCTGTAATTTTTTAAAATTTTTTTGAAGATTTATTTATTTATTTATACAAGCGCTGGGTACAGTCAGAAGCACGGGAAGGTGAGAGAATTCACCAGAGCCAGAGCGGAGAGTAGAACAGGCAGAGTGACGAAGTACACTGCTCAGGGGAGCAGTGGGCAGCAGGAGAAGTCTGCCCGCCATGTGGGACCCTTGCCTGCGGCCAGGGAATGAACTGGCGCTGCAGAGGCTGTGGAAAGCTTTGCAGCCCAGAGCTCAACCACTGCGCCACCAGGGGAGGCCCTCTTTTTCTGTAATTTTTTGTTTCCAAAATGTCTTTTCAAAAAAGGCAGTTTTTCAAATCCAATTCACACAACGGGATTTGATATATGAAAGTTTCAAATACACTTTATGCAGCAATTCATACTGCATATCTACTTGTGTCTCAGGCTCTGAACAAGCTGCGGACAACCCTAAGTCTGAGACCCATTAATGTGCTTTTGGCATACTTTCACTAAGTCCTTTTCCTCCCCAAACACACAGACTTTAAACCTCTTATGACTATGCAAACCCCACCCTTCTGAAAGCTTTTGAGTAGTCAACAGGCTGGTTCATCTATTGCACTGTGACTCTATGCTACAGGGTTGTTTATTAGATTCCTAGAAACAGCCACAGATGTGATTGCAATTTAGAGATATCTGATATCGTTCAACAGGGTCTGACTCAAAGGGGAAAATCAGGCCTCTAGGGACAAGGGAGTCACCTTCCCAAAGCCATATCTTCACCATGCCTCCAACGGACTCACATAGTCTGTAGACACTAGAATGGCTGAAAAACTGATGTGCCTGCCTGATTCCCTAGCACTTGAGGGGTCACCTGGCAATTAGGTGTGTTGGATCTGTTTAGCTCCCAGTGCACCAGCAACAATACTGACTGAAAGACTGCCGTCTGTTAGGGGCCATGTAAGACATTTACATGAATTAACTTATTTAATTCTCACGCAACTCCTCTGTGAGGCAGATACCATTGTTCCCATTTTACAATGAGACATGTAAGATTCTGAGCGGTTGAGTACTGTGGTCCAACACATACTATAGACCATAGTCAGGAGTTGAAGGCAGCTCTTTTGATTCTGTAGAAGAGTATAATCCGAGTAGATCCACCACAGTGCTTCCCTCCAGTAAATCCATCATCCCTGGACATCCTGCCATTACTTAAGCATTGAAAGTTCTGGGCATCTGGGAATGTGACCCAGGAGGCCCTCCGGTCCCTTTGGGAGAAAATGCCGGTTCTCCTTTCAAAGGCACGCTTCGCCTGCTTCTGCAGTGCCTGGTTCTGCCAGTTTAAGAGGCCTGACCCAGATCCCGGCCCAGGGGCTGGTGATGACCCGGCCAGGGAGGGGCGTTGAGACGTGCCGAGCAGGAGCCAGCTCCCTAGCGGCGTCCGGGCCGCGCAGAGCGGCTGGGGACGAGCGCGGGGCGGGGCTCGGGTCGGGCCGGGGCCCGGAACAGGAGCCGGCAGCGGGAAGCGGCCGCCGCCCGGGCCGTGCGGGGCGGGCGAGGCGAACCGAGGCGGGGCGGGGCCGGGCGCGACGCGAGGAGAGGCCGAGCGAGCCGGGAGCCGCTCCGCGCCAGCCTGGCTGCAGCCGCCGCTCCCCGAGCGCAGCTATGGGGCTGGAGACCGAGAAGGCGGACGTCCAGCTCTTCATGGACGATGACTCCTACAGCCGGCACAGCGGCGTGGATTACGCCGACCCAGAGAAGTTTGTGGACTTGGGCCCGGATCGTGATCCCCACAGGCTCAACTCACATCTCAAGGTGAAGTCCCGCGCGGGTGGTGGCCTGACCTGAAAACTGGTCCGAGCCTTTTCCATGGGCTGGGAGCGAGGGTGCCCCATCTATGCCTGCCCCCCCACCCCAAACTTCATCCTCACCATTGGGTCAGCTCCACAGGGTCCAGGAGCTGGACCACCCTCCGCGGAGCCTCCTTCCTAGCTAGAAATTCTTAGCCAAATTTCTGTGCGTCCACCGTGACCCTAAGAGAAGGTGGTACATACCAATCTTTTCTTCTTGGTGACCCTGTCCCTGTAGTTCCTGATTGTTCTCGTGGCTGGGGATCCCGGAATCTTGTCTCCGCAGGTGGGCTTCGAGGACATGATTGCAGAGCCTGTGACAACTCACTCTTTTGACAAAGTGTGGATCTGCAGCCATGCCCTATTTGAAATCAGCAAATACGTGATGTACAAGTTCCTGACTGTGTTCCTGGCTATCCCCCTGGCCTTTGCTGCAGGAATTCTCTTTGCCACTCTCAGCTGTCTGCACATCTGGTGAGAAGGGGCACATGGGGTGGACTGGATTTTTGAAAATGTGAGAATGTTCTCTGCCACCTGTCCCTTGCCATCCCCTACTGCCAGGCCAACTTTTAGGGGGCAGGTGGAAGAATATACATCAGCTCCTCACAAAGTAGTGAGAATGAGGATCCTTGAAAGGCAGTGTCCTTTGTTTAGAATCATGGATGGGGTTAGGGGTTTAAGCAGTAGAAGGATATTCCTCTGCCCTAAAGTGTGTGATTTCCCTTCTGATGCTAAGGCCCAGTTGACTGTGGAGGTGGAGAACTGGAGCCCATGCTTCCCGCCGCAGGCTGCTGGCTCATAGAGTCCTGTTATGACTTGTGCCTGTGGTTCTGGGCAAGGCTCTTATTTCTTTCATCACCTTTTATTCAGTCCCCGCCTGTGCTTGGGGTAATACAAAAATGATCTCTGAGCAGAATGCCAGTGACAATATAATTGGACAGGGATGTCAAACCTGATTAAGCAGTTCTGGAGAGGGGCTGCTCCAGTCCTTCCACTGGCAAATGACAAGGGTGGGGCCAGAGGAGATGCCAGCATGTGCAATTAAGGTAAGGGGCCCCCAGCACAAATAATGAAAACTCAAGCGGCAGGATAAATGAAATGACAAGGTCTCCAAATACTCTTTCACCTGTAAGACATGAATGGAGGTGGCATCTAGTTAAAAGGAATAAATACAGAAACCTTCTGGACATTGATAGGATGTAATGAGTAATTTTATCCACACTCAAAATGTATCCTAACACTTTGGAGAACATGTTAAGCATTTCATCTATAAAGGAAAATGTCATATTTTACCAAGAAGTGTTGTTGTTTTAAAAGATATCCACCTTATTCTAAAAGGACATTCAGATCATCCCCGTTATTCCAACACCTGAGGGTAGCCCTAGTGAAATCTATAACCCCAGATGTCTCTATGTCTTTCTTAATCACTCCATATGGTATTGCCACACCTAGCACATGCTGTGTTCATTTTAGAAGTTAGGAAATTTTTTTCCATTTCCCTTCACCATGCAAATCAGTTGTTTTTAGTAAGTTAGCTAGTTTCAACGAAGAGAATGTATTGAGTACCTACTTTGTTCTGGGCAATGAGCCCAGGATAAATAAAATATAGCATCTGCCTTCATCTTACTCAGTAGCAGGGCATCTAGTTTGTACAGAAGTGGAAGCTGAAGAAAATTTATTTAAGCCTATTGAGGATGGTTGCACAGGAAAGGTTTTATAGAAAGGATTCTAATAAAAAATGATTTTTTTAATTAACCAAATAAGTAAAAGATAAACAACACTAATTTAGTTTGCTCACAAAAGACTGTAAACAACTGAAAGTGCTGAAAGACTGCCAGAGAAATGAAAATCTTGAACTTTATATATGAGCAGGTTCACAAAGGTCAGAGGTACAGTTAACTCATATTTTGACATTAGCACATGAACTTTTTAAAAGATACCCAAGTCAGTGCTTAAAATGGTCGCTTCTCAATGAAATAAAAACTTTCATATCAGCTTTCTCGTTTTCAAAAATATGAAAAACTGAGTGACTACATAGCGTATTGTGAAATGTTAGAAACACTGGGTGCCTTTATTATAGTTGACAAAATGAAGTTTTCCTACAGCTCTTGTGGAAGAATTGAAAGCAAAATGTTCTCATTTACTATATGGTGTAAAGATATAAGTAAAATTACACTTAACCAAATAATGCTTCTATCCACCTGGTTCTCGTGAGAGTGGGAGGTGTTTTTTGTGTAGAGCTTCCAATGGTGAATCATCAAACCACTTCTTTCTCAGCCACATAAAATGTATTATTTCACTTCAGCTTGTTTTTCAAATTACATTCATGTGGAGCATTAATATTTAACTGTCATACATTTGTCATCAGGCAGTTGTGATTGCAAGAAGAGTAGCTTCAAGCAAAAAAAAATGCTTAAAAGTTAGTATACCTTAATAAAATAGATTATCATTAACACATTATATTCCCATAACCAGTTTAAGACTGTGTCAAAGAAACTGTAAATTACAGCAAACCCATTTGAGTTAAGCTTTTTGTTTGCTTTTTATTATTATTCCTTTCTCACTTCCTTCCTTTTTTTTGGCAGAAGGTGGAACTGTTTATTGTTTTACCAAAAGATTGGTAATAAAAAACTATGAAAATATGTACTATTAGATCTTGCAAACACAGCACATAATCACAACAGATCTAATTTTAGATTCTTTAAACAAATAAATAACAACAACAACAAAATCACCCAGGATTCAGAAGTACAGGTCCTTAGGAACTAGTGAATTGGTTGATTACATACTCTGATCAGAATGAGATGATGATTCTGGCAATTGCAGGTTATTGGTCATAAGTGGATCATACCATAGAAATTGTAAGAAGCAGGGCCTCCCTGGTGGCGCAAGGGGTTAAGCACCGCACCATGAAGCAATCCACAGCCTCTGCAGCACGAGTTCGATCCCCAGCCGACCAGGGAGAAACCCACATGGCGAGGCAGACCTCTCCTGTCTCACCCGCTGCTCCCCTCAGCAGTGTATTTCAGTCAGTTTGCCTGTTCTGTTCCCTGCTCTGTCTCTGGTATATCCTCTCATCCCCCGCATCTCTGGCCTGTGCTCCAGCTCTTATATGCATAAATAAAATACATCTTTAAAAAAAAAATTTTTTAAATAAAAGAAATTATAAGAGGTATTAAGAGCTCCCTTACCCCTTGTATTTGCTCAGATGCAGCAAATTGATGGTCCAACAAATGAAAATGCAGTGGAAGCTGTCTGTCTCATTTTTCAGAAGATGTATTAATACAGCAAAAAGCTATGACAGTGCAATCTGCATGACACTATAGTTAATACAAAACTAAATAAAAAGTCTCTATCTTAAGGACTTTATTATCCAGTGGAGGAATATATAATCTCATAAATCATAAGATTTATTTAAAAAAACATTTAAAATAAAAAGCAGTTAGTTGGCCACATTGAACCTCAACCAAGTTTTGGGTCATTCCAAATTGCCTGAATTTTCAAAAGGAAAACTATTTGAATGCTGAGAACACAATTTGTTTAATAAAAGAGGATCATTGGATTCTCTGGTCCAAAGTGAGAAGATAAGTAATATAAAATTAAAGAATTCTATGAACTGAAGTCCTCAAATGTGGACAACCCTACTTGGTAAAACTAGAAAATCTGCTTTTGTCCTGTGTTTAGTTCCCTTTTAAGATATAGGGATCTAAGAGATTGTGGGGATAGAAAACATTTAGGCTAATGAAGAGTAAAAAGTACATTATATTCTGGGTGAAGTAGATTGGTTAGGAAGCTTTCTAATCTGAACTTCAGTCTTGTGGTGCATCGATTTGAATTAGTTATAATTGTCTTCATTATGTATTCTGACTTCAGATTACTTATGTTTACTGTTTATTATAAAGACAGCATGTGGATATTTCAAGGGTACATAATAAGTATTAATCCTGATAGTCAATCCTGTTCTTACTTTAATTTGTTGTGATATGCCCAAGGCCACATCAAAGCAGAAACTTAATAGGATAAGAAATCAAAATTTCAGATTTCTTTTCAAATGTTTAACTCTGAAACACCTAGTAATTAATTTTCTTAAAAGTTGCTTTAACTCTTAAGCACTTGGAAGAAAACACAAGATAAATACAATCTGTGTAGACAGTCAATAGAAATAATTCAGTACTCTAAAAATATCTCAATCATCAAACAACTGCTTATCTTCCTGCATTTTGGGCTAAGTACTGCAGACCTTTATTTAAGTCACATTTTAATGGCAAACCAAAATTATCAACCTTACTTCCTTGTATGCCCCCAGTTAATAATAAAAATTCCATTGAGACAATGAGTGATGCCTGAGAATTCCCAAATACTATTGAGTTTTAAGAGCACTGCTACAATAGAGAGCATTATTCAGAGGCTTAAACAGAAAATTTATGAGCCTGGGCAATAAGAAAATATAGTCACGTTAAGAAAAGATACAGAAAAACTAACTTCAGGATAGTCTAATTGTTCTTGTCTAACAGTTCTAACGTAATTGTAGGCTTTTTAAACTATACTACACAGCCCTTTTCAGTGTGTGTAATTACTATGAAAAATTAATAATATAAAGTAGAACAGAATGCCAAATTCACTTTAGCTCAAACATTTGCTAAGGGTCAGGTATATCCTCATTGAAGCTTATATTCTACTAGAAATAACAAAAATATAAGTATCTGTTTATGATATGGTTTGGTAAATTTGAGATTAAGGAGATGTTTCAGTACTTTAGGAACACAAGAAGTATACCCAGTCTAGTCCAAGGAGAAGGGAAGTGGAATGAGACAACAGGAAAAGTTATCAGGAAGTAGAGCATTAATATTTAAGGGCAGACATCAAATAAACTTATTCTTTTATATGTTTTTGTTTCACTGTCTCAGATAAATTGCCACCAACAGAGAGACTATTTGTGTTTACCGTTTACATGCCTGTTAATTTTTTTAACCAACATATCTTCTGTGCATCTTATCACTGTGTGGGTCACATTTATTTCAAATGTTCAACAAAGTTTAGGTGAATTAGATCACTATTACATCTTTTCATGAATGAGCAATAGTTAGTGGCCTTATTTGATGATGCCAATAATCTTTACACGTCTCTTCCTCCATTCCAGGATTGTAATGCCTTTTGTAAAGACCTGCCTAATGATCCTGCCTTCAGTACAGACAATATGGAAGAGTGTGACAGATGTTGTCATTGCCCCATTGTGTACAAGCGTGGGACGCAGCTTCTCTTCTGTCAGCCTGCAACTGAGCCACGACTGACCACTTGGACCTCAAGTCTACAGATTTGGATACTGTAATACTTTTGTGTTATTACATAAAAGCACTACTGATCTGTTCATTCCCCAACTGTTCTAATAAAGAAAACTATTAAGATGGGCAACCACCTTTAGAAATGTTTATTGGGAGATCTTTTCAAATAATGCTTTTCTAATAATAACCAAGGATTTTATACTTAACATTATAACCAGAATTACACAGTAGGTTGGCAACACTTCATTTTAAAGGCAGTTTTTGTTTTATTACAAAAGTTAATATTTTGTAATGATCAAGGATATTTTCCTCAAACAGTACAATAGTTTTTTGCACAATTGTTCAAAAAGTATGAGACTTATTGTTTTACTCTGAAAGTAATACTTTTAAATTAACTTTGCAAATAAAGACATAGGAATACGAGAGACATGAAGTGCAAAGATCCTAGAAATTGTACTACCAAAAGTATCAGTGGTGATAAGGACTTATCAAATATTATAAAACAAATAAATGTGAAACTAGAGTCTGAAAAAATGTGTTCCTTTAAATAAGGCATTGTTAACCTACAGGTCTATTTAACAAGATGTTTCATTTTACTGTATATTTTGTATTTAATGTAAATGTTGCTCTAATCGATTGCTTTAAAGCACTTTTATTATATTTGTTATCTTGTTGAACTAATATAATGAGTAAATGTATCTCTCTCAAGGAATTTCATTGGTATGATTGCACTGTCTTGATTTAGTAAGCATTCCTCTCTGGGAATACAATGTAAAAAAATGATACGCAAGGATTATTTTCTAACTTTTCCAAGCAATATCCTGAAATGTTTTTGATCTTACATTTAAGATAAGATAGCTGTGATCTTTACATAATACAAATCTAACTGGTATTTTGTCTAGGAAATGCTTTCTCTCTTATTGTTAGAAATTACACCTGTATTTTGCATTCCTATTCATGTTTCACTCTACCTTAAAGTAATACTGGTGCTATTTAATAACATTTTACAATAGGCTATTCCTAACACTTTACTACAATTCCAATTACAATGATTCATAAAGAGAGATGTATGAGGTTGTCAACTTGTTGGGTCCATGCTACTGAAATATATACATAAATTAAAAATTAATAGCTACAAATGTACAAGATGTTTTCTAATGTGGGATTTGTTATACAATATAAAATTGTTCTTACCATTTTTGAAGGTCAGTCTTATTTCAGTGTTTTATCACTGTTTTTTAAAAATAATTCATTATTCCAAAATGAGAGGCATGTATAAAAGATGCCTATGATGTCAGTGTTTACTATAATTTACATATCTTGTAAAATTGTGTAAGTGTTCAATAGAACTACTATCAGAACCTGAATTAACATTCCTTTGAATGCCTTCACAGAAGAAAAATTCTCATTTAATAAAGGTTAATTTTATTATTTGAAATTGATAGGACTGGTGAATATAAAGGATGATTGAACTGGAATACTATTGGGGACCAAAGCAAATGAATGCTTAAATTTTGAAATATATCCTTTTGAAGGTAGCTAGAAAAGAGACTTTTCAAAACTGCCTTAGGCCATTGTAGCAATCCTAGAAAAAACTTTCATGACCATTATCTTAAAGCATTACCACACAATTGTATAGATTTCACTATGTTAGTTAAAAAGGTCTACCAGTCTCATGACTTTATAATTATATTTTATATTTAGTGCTTTATAAAAAAATTTTGTCTTATTGACTGATAAAAAATCAACTAATAAAATATTTAAATAAATCATAAACTTCTAACTTTTGAATAGTCATTGGCAAGTTTTGATGGCAAAATATATAGACATAATCATATTACAAACCTATTAACTTTTAATAAGTGATACATATACTTTACCTATTTCTGAATAGCATTGATTACTTTCAAAATGAATTTTTATTGAGTTTTGTCATTAACTGAAATTTTGTACCATGCTGATCTGGGTTTCATGTGCAAACATGTTAGTTCTTTTATTTGGGGATGTGAAAGGGGTAGATGATGAGGAGACTTTCTCAATATCCATAATAAACCTGAAAACTCATAAAATGTTTCTATTGCTTTTATTACATTCGATATTGAACTGGTAAATAAGAAGCCATTTCAAATCTTTACAAGCTATTTTATTCACAAACCTTCTACACTTCATCTTTTTCATGCAATAAATCTTGTTAATCCTAAATAAACTGATATTTCTGTTTTCAATTTTTTAAATAAGAAATTCAAACAATATAAATCACATGTACTTGGATTCCAACATGTGAAGCCAAACCAAAGACCAAGATTATTTTTGGAAAGTGAATAGGTAAAGAACAGTTGCTGATATTGGCATAGATTTTCTTGTTGTCAGTTAATCTGGAAAAATGATCAACCTCTAATAATAAATCAGTTGTTCAGCTTTAATAAATTGCTCGTTATAGTTTTGAAGAACTGAAAAAGTTCCTCTTTTCAGTAGTCACATGCCCATTAATTTATTTAGATGTCTTTCTTGGAAAACTGTTGGCATGTAATGAAATGAGCATTGCATCTGGATTCTAGTCTCAGTGCTTCCATTACTGAGATAAATCAACTGATTCAAATGATTTTATCCCTGGGTCTCAATTTTCTTATATTTAATGAAAGGATTAGACTAAAAGATTTCTCATAAGCTTCCCACATCACTCTTTTCTGTGATTTCAGTAGGATGAAGAATTAGTTATGTATATGCAAATCAATCTAGCTGTTTAGTTCAAGAATTTTTAAAAATTGTTTTCTATCAGTTAGAGGACAGATGTGCTATAATTACAAAAATTAATAAATTTATTTTTCATACTTTAGTTGATCCTGACACTGTGCATGTGGTTTTGATTCTGTATGATGCAGATTCCTAGATTTTTAAACAATTCCAAGTCTTTCTTACTTTGACATTTTCTCCAATAATGATGTTACTCTATTTTTAAAATTAATTAAAATTAATTTTAATCAATGAGTTTTCAACCAAAATTGCTGTTATGGCACCATAATCAGATGCCACCATCTTTATGTTTTACCTAGTTATTTGCCATAGCCTCCTAATTGGTCTTAATCCCAGTCTTCAATATTTTCTTTCCTAACTCATCTTCCCCTTCAATGAAAAAAAGTGATTACATGAAGACTCCCAGGCCAGTCCCCCTGCTTAAAACCATCAATCATATGTGACTGCCCTAAGAATAACATCCAAACTCTTTGAGCAATGTATTCAAAGTCCTCACCATCAACCCAAGGTCACCTTCAGTAACTCTCTTCTGTAGCCCTTATTAACATATCTCTGCTGCTCCTATCGCCTTGCTCTTTTGGGCCCTGTGCCAGCAACACTTATCCCCTCAAGGCCTGTCTAACCCCTTCTATTCCCAAAAGTCCTCCACATGAAATGCCTCCTCTGCATCTTCACACAAAATGCTGTACAAACCCCTATTATCACTTACCACATGGTAAAGCTAACCATGTTAATTAACTTCACTAAATTGCTAGTTAGGTCTCTGAGAACCAAAACATGACCTCATCTTAGTTTCCTGAGATTCTGAAATGGTCCCCTGCATTTTGTAGAATCAATTTTGTATTTTTTATACTCAATCAATATTTTCTGAATGAATGACTACAGGAATAAATAATTCATGAAAACTTGGGACAATAACAGCAGTGGAGTGGGAATCACTTTACAATTTTCATTGGCAAAAGAGGGGCTTGAAATGCACTGATTTTAATAAAAAATTTTCCTTCTCACCATTTTCTCATTCATGAATCATTAAGTTGGAAAAGCTAAAATCTATGGAAAGTATATAAGGCACACTTACTCCTTTGGGGTAATGTTTGTCTGTACTCTCAGCTCTCTTATCTGAAACTTATTTTCACATCTTCAAGGGTTAGGAAATACCTGTACTTAGAAACTCATTTGGAAATAAATGTTCTAGTATTTAGAAAATGGCTATTTCTTTTACTATTCTGTGCCCCACTTTGAAATTTATAATTCTAAAAGATTGTTTTTTATAGAGTTTTACATTTTAGAAAACACAGTCCCAAAACATTGCCTTATTTAAATCCCAGTACAAATTAAATAGCATAGTAGAGAAATTATACAAATGGTTGCTTCTTTAGCTAGCAACTTTGTCATTTTAGAATGTTTATGTAAGATAGCAAGAGCTTAAAGAATTTTTACAAAATTACACACTAATAAACTAAAAATCATAGCAGAGTTGCAATGAAAAATTAACATGATTAATTTAATTTATCATAAGGCAGGATTTTTGTATACTTCCTTCCTTCAAGGTATATATGTGTGTAAGAGGGCAAAGGGAGGAATTAAAAGTATTAGGGAGCAGACATAAGAATATATTAGATATTCAGGTTATATTTTTTAGAGATAAGAGTAATTTGGACTTCTATAATCTAATCATCCCAATTTCTCTATTCACCCCCAAAACAACTAAATAAGCAAAAAAGAAAGCATCCTGTTGTGTTTTTAAATCATATTTGTGCCCACTCCTTGGCTTCTTCCTCCCTACCATACCTGAAATACCACTGTTAGAACTTTATTTCTTGATGCTTAAGTAAAAAATACTTTTGGGTGGGGTAACATTTCAATATATCAGTAGTTATCTATTCAATGTGAATGGACCAATCTGAGAAGGGGATATTGAAAACAATGTAAGGGGCATGAGTTTGAGGGTCTTAAACTGAATCCCTCAAGGCTACCACACTGATTTAAAGACTGATAACCAAAGAGAAATTCAGTAGAAAAAATGAAAATCAGGAGGCTTACACACTGACACTATCTTTACTCTTCTCACTTGATTTTGGACGCCCCTGTCCCAAGCCCCTAGTGAAAGGATCATTGTAAATTGAACAAGGATAGAGGAAGTTGAAGTCAGCTTAAGACCTTTTATTCTCAGGTTTCCCTGGTGGCATAAGGGGGAAAATATATCACTATGAAGCAATCCACAGCCTCTTCAGCACAAGTTCGATCCCTGGGCCCACTAGGGAGCAACCCAAGTAGCAGACCTCTCCTGTCTCGCCTGCTGCTCCCCTCAGCAGTGTATTTCAGTCAGTCTGCCTGTTCTGTTTCCCACTCTGTCTCTGGTGAATCCTCTCAACCCTCCACCACTACCCCCTATACCTCTAGCCTGTACACCAGCTCTTATATGCATAAATAAATAATTTTTTTAAGAAAAGACCTTTTATTCTTTTAATGAATGAAAGGGGCTCTGGGAGGGGATATGAGAGCTCTGCTAGAGCCAATCATCTTAAAGACAACGCAAAAGAGCAAATGTTAATGTAAAAACTGAATTGCAACTTGTGATGTGTCTCTTTTCCTCCTTGCCTCTCTGTGCTGCTGACTTAACAATGGATCTGTGGCAAAAGAAAGAAGACTGTGCAGCAGTCAGAGAAATCAGAGAAACCATTTCAACAATTATCCAAAAATAGGACAGAGACACATATCCGCCTGCACTTAGACGTGTTAGGTCACTCAGCTTGGCTGCACGGCTGGAGAAATCGTTTTGCCTTTGTAGGAAAAGGTAGGGGTGGAGAGTGAAGAGAGAAAGGAAGAGAGATGACTCAGAGTGGGAAACAGCACGTAACTAAGGGCAAATATTTCTCCCAGATATAAAAGAATCAGGAAGAGAACAGAGCAACAGGATCTTAGGAGCATTCTTTTCTTTCTCTGCCTCAGAATAGCCTGTTATAGAGCACCTGCCAGTAACAAAAGGGTAGAGAAGGGCAATAAGCAGAACCTGCTTCTCCAACTGAATAGCGCACTGGTTCCAGCCAACTGCTGTCTCAGCTAACTGGGACAGTGAAACAAGGAGTCATTTGGAAATTTGCAGAGATAAACACACTATTTCCCAGTGAAGTCAATGGCAAGAATTAACATAGTTCTTTAATAAGGAGGAAACTGATTGAAATCTAGCATGTATTGTATCAGTGGGAAAATTTTGATCCCTGATACAAACAATAACATTAGCATTTGTTGAGCATATTTTACTTGCTAAGCATTTATTTAATCTGCACAATAACCCTATGATGTGTATTCTGTTATCATCCTCCATTTCTCCAGAAGAGACAACTGATGCTCTGCAATTGAGGAATTTTCTCAAGATCACACTTGGAGTCAGGATTTGAGGCAAGAGAATCTGACACCAGAGTCCAGGCTCTTAATCTAGAAATGATATGCTACTTCTAGGATGTGTACATGGCTGTTCTAATAACTTGTTTTCCCTTCTAGCCAAAACCTTTTTCATTCATGATTCAGTCTGAGCAAGCATTCCTGCTCTGACAAGCACATTTTCTCCTTTCTCCTATTGATAGAGTAGGTTACAAGTTCACAGCAGTGAGAGCTCCTAGCAAGCTGGTACCCCGTATCCTCTTCATTCTACCCATTCTAATCCCTGAGCCCGCCCCCAGTCCTATACCTTGCTTTCCTGGCACATCATTTCCTTCCCTTAATGATTTGTGCTCTAAGTCCTACACTCCAGTTTAGATGTGAAAAACATTTTCCAACTGCCATTATTCCCATCTTTTGTAAAATTCACTTTTTAACAAAAAGTTCCTTAATTTGTATTAAAAGCATAATGATTTCTCTTCAATACTGCACACCTGACACAGAATATTTTAATAATTATAGTAATACTTTCTATTTAGATTCAGCATGTATTTTTCATAATGTATTCAAACAAGGAGAAATTGTAAAAAAAAATTGTAAAATATTTCTCCTGGAAGAACCTTGGGAATGGTGAACATTAATCTATCTAGGACAGATTAGATAGAGATATGATAAACTAGGAATTTATTTTAAAATTTCTATGATTTTATGATTCTTAGAGTTGAAGAAATATTCTGAATTGGAAAGGAAAATTCCCTCAGCCTCAAAATCTGAAATGAACTCTGCCTAGTATGAGAGCAGGGGAGGACAGGTTTGGACTACTTTGGATCAGCTCCTCAGAACTGTTCTGTCTTCTTAAAAAGTTAAAAGGCTGGTGTTCCCACAACTCTTACCACTGGGCAATATACCCTTTGGGTGTGGCTATTAGGAGAGTTTAATATAGCTCCAACCCTTTCATAGCAAAAAAAAAAAAAAAAAAAAAATCATCTTGGCTGTGGCTCAGAATGTAATTCTTGATTTCACATTCCAAGAAGCCTTCAGTTTATAGAAATGGAAAGAAC